GGCCAAGAGGAGCAGGAGGGAATTGCGTACAAGGTCACCAGGCAGGGTTACTGCCAGGAAGCGGGGCTTTGGGAGTTCAGGCCAGGCTGAGAGTACCTGCTTATCTGCTTGCACCTACTGAAAGGTGCTCCCTCCACGGCAAAACCCAACTGGCCTCTAGCAAGTTGGCTGTGACTCACTATTTTCCTTCTGGTGCAACTGGTTAACGAGTGTGGCTCAGAGGAAAGGCCTGGCATGCTACGGCTGAACAAGTAGTCACTGAAAACCGTACACAGCCTAGTTCTTCTCTGACACACATGGGGTCGCCACAAAACATCAAACCCATGCAAACCAGACCCCTGCTGTCAAGCTCATTGCACCTCATAGTGACCGGCATTGGGTTCCGAGGTGGGGACTCTTTATGGGACGAGAATGTCCATCTTCCTCCCATGGCACAGCAGCTGGTGGTTTTAAACGGCTGGTGTTTCTGTCGGCCACCTGATGGGCTACACTACACTGCCAGATCGCCTTACAAAGACTCAAGTCCTTTCTAACCTGGGCTTCTCCAAGGCCGGGCCTGGGAGAAGTGTTTAGGCTTCATTGCTTCAGGTCTTCCTCTAAAAATCAGTACAGGTGGTAACTAGGCGAAGTGGCTACCACAGTGAGTTTAAGAAGCAGATCCAGGTGAGTTTCATTGTTAAACGATTGTGATGTGTCCTTCAGAAAAAGACATTGTGCTGGGAAAGGTGATGGATCAGAGACAGAGAGGAAGACCTTCAACTGGAAGGATTGTTACAGTAACAATGAGCCCCAGCCTATGAGCGACGGTGAGGACATGAGGACGCACAGGGCAGACATGGTTCAGATCTGTTGTTCTAGGGTTGCTGTGGGTCACAGTCGACTGGACAGGACCTAACACCACCACAACAGCACGTGAGCCTTGCCTTGATGGTATTGAACCACAGCTGTGCCACCGAGCCCTTGCTTTATGAGCAGCAATGGTGAATAATTGACAAACTTGAGTTTAAACCATTTCAGTCTGTGGAGAAGTGCATGCCCATCTTCAGTGTATAGCCGGGACTGGCAAGCGGGCCTCCCACCCCTCACTTGTGTGGCCATGAGCTGGGGTGGGGCTGGGGGGCAGGGGTTACATTTTAAGCCAATGGAAAACATTTTAAGACAAAGGATATTTCATGATAAGTGGAAAAACAAATGAAATGAAAATTTCAAATTCTGTGGGAATTTATTTTCTCTCTTATAAGTGTGTTTGGAAGCAGGAGTGGCATCCACTTCTTAAATAACATTTCTCCAGAAACCCTATGAACTTTGATAAATGTCAATAGTTGTGGAGACACTTCAGGCCTTTTGTAGATAGGGTCACTATGAGTCGTGCTCGACTCAAAGGCAATCAACAACAACAACATAACTTTGTACACAATACAACCAACTTGGGGGGGGATGGGCAAGGAGGAAAGTGTGCAATAATGAATGAGTGGAAATCCAAAGCCTCTGTAAACTTTCAGCAAAAATAAAAAAAATTAAGAAATATAACCAATTTTTAAAAAGAAGGAAAAATAAAACAAAACAAAAATACTACCAACTTTACCTCTTGTTTGTAAAAGCTCCATTTTCTACTATCTGGCCCATTCCTGAGAGGGTTCAGTTTAGAAAAACTCAAGATTCAGTGCCAGGCAGGTCCTGACTGAGCCAGTCAGGTCCTGATTGAGCCAGGCGGGTCCTGATTGAGCCAGTCAGGTCCTGATTGAGCCAGTCAGGTCCTGATTGAGCCAGGCGGGTCTTGATTGAGCGCTGGCTGCCATTTACTGAGTCCATGACCCTGGCAAGTTAATTTACCTGCCTTGGGCTCACTTTCCTCGGCTGTGCAGTGCTTACCTCATAGGGAGCCCTGGAGGCATAGGGGTAAGGAATTGTGCTGCCAACTCAAAGGAATGCAGTTTGAATCCATCAGCTGCTCCCCAAGAGGAAGATGGGTGACTTCCTCCTGTGAGATTTACTGCCTGTGGACCGGCTCCAACCTGATGGTGCCCAACAACTCACAGGGTCCTAAGCATTGCATCGAGGAGTTTAGCACAAGGGTTATCAGATGGTGGGGAGTATAGATTTGGATTTGAATCAAAACACCTGCCACAAGCCAACTCAAAAGAGAAGGAATAAAACTGAAACTCCTATGTTATAACAGGAGTTTAAAAAGGAAATACCCAGCAAGTGGAGATTGCAAGCCATATATCAGGATAAGCCAAACCTCTTGACATATTGGTCACATGTGTGCTAAATTTTGTCCGGTTGAAGGAGTTAAAAAAAGAAATTGGCTGAACTCCGCGGAATCCATGGCTCGATAGCATGCTGAGACTGTGGAAACAAATGGAACAGGTCAGGGCCCCTCAGTGGCACAGAGGTGCGCTCCCAATAACTAACCTGATGGTTATCGGTTCAAAGCCACCCAGCAGTCCTGCTGCATAAAAACCTGGCAGTCTGCTTCCGAAAGGACGACAGCCCAGGCAGCTTGGGGGAGCAGGGTCTACCCTTTATGTGGATCAACACGACTTGGAGCCACTTAGAAGGAAATACTTTCGATTTGTCCTTCAGAAAAATGAAGGGCTAAATGGAATCACCACTGATAGGCTCCAATTTAACTCTACCTGGAAGGCCAGAACTTAGAACTGCTGAGCGCAGCCTCTAAAAGCAGTGTTTCTCTACACGTGCCCACAGGAAATAACCACAATGTCATGCAATTGACTTTTTCTGTTTCCTAATAACTTTTATTAAGAAAAACTGCAACTTGGATTGCCCAGCCTGTGAGAAGTTGCACAGCCAACCCAAACGCAGTTTCTCTTTGGAAATTTAAATCCATCAATAGCTTCCTCAGAAGAAAAACGGGCAATCTCTTCCTGTGTGGTTTCTATTCTCACTTAGACCTGCTATGAAGGTCAGCTGAATTGGTTCTGACTTGATGGAAATGACTTTGACTTTGAATTTTCTTAAGAAACAATCCACTTATTTTAAAGTGTTTGGCTCAGGGATTTTTAATCCAGTCACTACCATCATTGCAATCACGTCCAGAGCATTTTTGTCACCTCCTACCCATCAGCACAATCCCTACCCTTCTCTGGCCCCAGGCCCTGGTAACCACTAATCTACTTTCTGTTTCTATGGAGTTCATGATTCTGGATACTTCATGTAAATAGAATTGTACAATGTGTGGTCCTTTGTAACTGATATTTTTCTCTTAACGAGTCCCTGGATCAAGCACTTCGTGGATAACTCACAGATCGGAGTTCTGAGTCCACCAAGAATTGCTTCAGAAGGAAGGTCTGTGATCTACTTCTGAAAAGTCAGCCATTGAAAGCCCCGTGGGATGTAGTTTTATCTGTGTTTCATTGACTACTCAAAGGCATTCGACGGTGTGGATCACAACAAACTGTAGCTAACCTTGAGAAGAAAATCTACTGTAGAGAACCTCTTCAAAGTTCTAAACAGTAACGATGTCAGTTTAAAGACTAAGGTGTTCCAGATCCAAGACATTGTCTTTTTCAGTTACTTCCTATGCACGTGAAAGTTGGACAGTGAATAAGGATGAGTTGAGAAGAACTAGTGCCTTTAAGTTGTGGACTGCCAAAAGAATAAAGCAAGTCTGTCTTGCAGAAAATGCAACCAGGGTGTTCCTTAGAGGCAAGGATGGTGAAACTTCTCACATACTTTTGCAAGGGTCAGGCCTTGCTAGAAGATATCACGTGGTAAAGGTGGAGGGTGAGAGAAATAGAGGAAGAGCCTCCATAAAGTTCATTGGCACAACGACTGCAACAATGGGGCCAGATTGGGCAAAGTTCAAATCTGTTGTTCCTAGGGGCGCTGTGAGTTGTGGCTCACGCCATGGCATCTAACAACAATAGAGCTACGTAGCAATAATATTTATTTCACTTTACATATAGGAAGGTGGTGGCTGTAGTGGCATCCTGGGACTGCTATAAAAAAATAATTGCAGAACAGCAGCTTCAAATAATACACATTTATTCTCTCACAGTTCCGGAGACCAGACTGAAATCAAGATGCCAGCAATGTAGTCTCTTCTGAAGGCTCTGGGGGAAAATCTGCCCACTGCACTCTACTAGCTTTGTGGACAGCTGTCAGTCCTTGGTATTCCTTGTGTTATGACGGCATCCCTCAAATCTGCCTTCTTCTTCACCCGCCTTTCTTCACTGTATGCCTCTTCTGTGTCTCTGATCTAACAAGAAGAACAAAGCAAAAGCAAACAAAACAAAAAAAATCACTCTCCTTTTTAGGACACTAGGATTTAGGGCTCATTCTGATTTGCATGACTTGCATTTTAACTTGATTACAATTGCAATGACCATGTTCCCAATAGAACCACATTGATAGGAAATTCATATTTACAGAGGGAAACAGCTGAGCACTCCCAGTGATTTGTGAGGTTAAACGACTGTGCTCCTATGTTACACTTTCAGGTAATTTGCCTCCAAGGATTCCAACATAGAGCATTTTAACCATTGTGACTCGTATTTGGAGAATTCAAACTATTTCTAAGCAGACTAAAAAATATTAAGGTGCAACAGTCTGCGCTTTTCAGGTTACTTCTTAGATCAGGGCATGCACTTCTGGGGTACCTGTCATCTTAGCCTCAGCTCTGCCAACAACCAATAGTTTACATAGGCTCTGAGCCAACAAGGACAGCTTCAAGCCAGGCTCCTCCTGGGGCCCCAGAGACTCCGCCCCACCAGCCCGGAGGCCACGCCCCGCCACGCCTACGCACGACGGGGGCGTGGCGGACCGGGGGCGTGACCGGAGGAGGGCGTGGCCTATCGGGGGCGTATCCCCGCCTGCGAGCAGGTCTCGTGGGCGGGGCGGGGCGGGGCCTCGTGTCGCGTCGTGATGACATCGCGGACCGGCGCGGCGTGCCCCTCCGGCGCCGGCGTGGGTTGGGTGTTTTGGTTCCGGCCCTTTTCCGGCTGCTGAGCTGAATGAGGGGTGCGCGTTGGGCCGCGATGTCACAGTCTGACAGCGTAGAGGGTGAGGAAGAGGAGCAGGCGGAAGAGGACTGTCCTGAATTGGTTCCCATTGAGACGAAGCGCAGAGACGAGGAGGAAAACCCCGTCCCCGGCGCCAAGATCCCAGTCACAATTATCACCGGCTACTTAGGTAACCAGGTCGGAGGGCGAGCGGGGACCTGGGCGCCCGGGGCGCGAACACGTGTCCCTGGAGGCGGACGGGGCCTGGGCCGCCTCCCCCGCGGCGCTGACCACCAGTGTCAGCCTCTTCGCGGACCTCCCGTGTGAGCTTGCGCGGGCAAAACGAGGCAGAAAACACCTCGCTTTTGATCATTTGCATTAAAAGGTGATCTACCTGCATAAATACCTGATGGGGAGGGAGCGCCCAGCAGAGCCCCGCCTGCGAGCCACGCTCTGCCTTTCCGGCCCTGAAACGTGCACAGTAGGAGCTCCGGTGGCCTAGTGCGCTGCAGTCCCCAAAGTAGGCGGTTCGAGTCCACCAGCCGCTCTGCAAGAGAGGATGAGCAGTTTCCTTCCGTGTTAATGACAGCTTCTGAAAACCTGCTCGCAGGTCACCTGTGGGTGGATTCCGAGTCGATGGCATATTGCTGTTGTTAGGTGCGACCTTATGGACATCAGATCTGAACCCTGCCTGTCCCTCACCATCAACCCTCCTATACCTGAGCCCATTGCTGCAGTCACTGTGTCAGCCAGTCTGTCTCCTTGAAGTTCTACCTCTCTTTGACTGATCCTCCGCCGTTCCAAGCATAATGCCTTCGAACAAGAACTGGCCCTTCCTAGCCACATGCCCAAAGTGTATGAGAAGTGGCATCATCCTTGCCTCTGAGGGACAGGCTGGTTACACTTTTCCCAAGACAGACTTGTTTGTTGTTTTGATGGTGTCCGGGATAGCCATTACTCCTCTCCAACACTGCGGCTCAAAGGCACAGATTCATCTTCTGTCATCCTTATTCATTTCCCAGCTCTCAGGTTCATAGCAAGCGATTGAAAAGACCATGGCCTAAATCGGGTGCATCTGAGTCTTTAACTGACATCATTCTGGACTTTGATGGCAAGATTTTTCCAATGCAAAAAGTCCCCCCACACTTATTTTTAAAATTTATATTGGTTTATTTGCAAAGTTTATATACACAGCTTTTTCACACCACAACTTTCTGCCTCCCTCCACCCATCCAATTGTGTGACCCTCTGGTTATCATCTGTGTTGTCATGCCCCCCAACAGGTCTTTTGACCGCTGCTTGGTACTGCTGGTACCTAGGTTGTTCATTGTGGACCCAAGTAAGATGAAAATGTTGACAATTTCTGTCTTTTCCCCATCTATCTTGATGTTGCCTGTTGACCCACCGGGGAGCATTTTTATTTTCGTTGTGTTGAGATGTAATCTGTCCCATAGTATTTCCAAAGCTGTAGGTCTTTAAAATCTTAACAGCTAAATAGAAGGGCCAGAGTAAAACAGAACTATATTGAAAAAGATGGTAAAGTTTTTAAAATACAGAGAAAATGATACAAGTTTGAGGGGAGTGCAGCATTCCTAGATTGGAGATAGAAACAGTGTTTCAGCTGGTCTCTTAGCTCCTGGCTAGGAAACGTAGGAGCCTCCTAGAGATACATTCAGGTTCATTTGTGCAAGTTCCTAGGAGCACGGCTTGAAATAGGAAAGCACTGGGAGCAGTGCCTGTGCTCACCAATAGAAACAAATGAACGACTACACACTATCCTCGTACAGTGGCGAGGTAGGCAGGTGGTTGGAACTAATGGATTCTTATTCATAGTGACCCTCCGTTGGGTTTCTCCATCTTCGGCAGAGCAGAGGATTTGAACTGCCAGGAAGGAGCACAGCACTCTCCAGTCTATGCTGCTCTTCCTGGCCTGGGAAAGACTGACTGCGAGCAGTAGGTTTAACATGCCACCTACTGGCTCACTTGGTGTAACTACATTTTTTCCAGTAACTTCACTCCCAGCCCAAACCACTGGCATCTCTGGTCACTTCCCACTGTCACAGGATGAGCCCTTTATTACATGGACTCAATCACTTGAGGAGTCCCTTATTTTAATAGGGAATTCAAATGCCCTCCTATTAGTGTGTTTTATATTTCAAAGTATTAACTTTGTTACACGAGTTGCAAAAAAACCACTGGGATCGCAACTTGTGTGAATATTTATGAAGATTTGTGACGTTTTATGTTGTGCTGAGGAAGAGTACTGAACATACCATGGACTGCCAAGAGAAGTAATACGTCTCTCCTGGAGAGGATAAAACCAAGCTGCTTCTTGGAGGCAAGGGTTTTGAGACTGTGTCTCACATAGTTTGGGCATGTAGCCAGGAGGGACCAGTCTTTGGAGAAGGATATCATGCTTAAAGGGTTAAGGGACAGCCCAGGAGAGGAAGACCCCGGAGGATTGATGGATTGACACAATAATTGAGGTATGAGGGTAGGTCAGAGACAGAATGCCTCAGGCTAGAGCAGAGTTCTAAGCTGTTGTGCATAGGTCACTATGAGTCATAGTTAACTGGATGGCATGTTACAACAATAACAACAAGGACATCTTGTAACACTTTCCAAAGAAATGCTTTAATACTTTCCTCTAGAACCTTCTATACCATCGAATTGGAACCGACATAACTGATTCTCCAGTGGGTTTTCAGAAGCAGTATATTACACAGGAGGAAATTGCCTGAATTTCCCTGGTGGAGCAGCTGATGGATTCAAACTGTGTACCTTTACATTGACAGTGTAATTCCTTACCACTAAGCTACCAGGGCTCCCTGTGGTTATAGAGTATTAGGAAACTTCTTAAGAACACTGAGATTTTCTTATATAATTTTCTGTGCTTTTGAAATGAACCTTTGGATTTTATTATTTAAAACAAATATATTTTTCAGGTGCTGGGAAGACAACCCTTCTTAACTACATTCTGACGGAACAGCACAGTAAACGAGTCGCTGTTATTTTGAATGAATTTGGGGAAGGTGAGTAAAGCTCATGCAATGCTGCCTGACCCTAGAGTATAGAACAGCTGATTCAACTCATGAATTGATGTTTGGTGTCGGAAACGGAAAATTCTTTATATTGTTGTTATTGTCTTAAAATACAGAATGCTTCACAAACTTGCGTGTCATCCTTGTGCAGGGGCCATGCTAATCTCTGTATCGTTCCTGTTTTAGTATATGTGCAGCTGAAGTGAGTTCTCTCTGGTTTTTAGGTAGATTTTATGACATGGGTGCTACTGGCTTTCCAGAAATGGATCAGTGTCTCCAAAACCGTTTTCTTCTTCAACCTTGAGGTCCTGAAATCAAATCATTTCTATCGAGTTGAATTTTAGAATCTGGAATTTTAGAATGCACACCGACAGAGTTACATTTTTACGCGAAATATATTGCTACAGATTATAGAAACACTTAAACACATTAAAGGGAATTTGTTTCTTTTTAATTGGTCCAAACCTTTTGCTTGGAGTGAACTCTGAGTCATAATAGGGAGACCTGCCGCCCGGGTTTCCCAGGTCGATCTTCACAGAACCAGGCTGTCTCATATTTCTTCCACCTTTTACTGATATAGGCGCTGTCTTAATGAGGATCTCGTTGGTTTCTCATATGCTCCATTGACGAACGAGTCAAATGAAACTTTTTGTTGTTAGGTGCCATTGAGTTAAGTATGCCTCATGTTGTTATTAGTTGTCGCTGAGTCAAATATGTCTCATAGCAACCCTATGAACAGCAAGTGTGAACCCTGCTCTATCCTGTGCCATCCTCACAAGCTGTGATACACTCCAGTGCATTGTTGCTGTCACTGGGTCAATCCACCTGGCAAATCTCCTTTGCAAGCCCGATGTCTCTCTCTAAGGAATAGCCTCTCCCAGCATAACAAATTATGGCTGACATTGCGAAGGTGTGTCTCTGTGTCCCATTTTGGTCCTTCTCTTAGAATTTCAAGCCTTTTCCGTACTGCTCTTGCACATTTAATAGTAAGACTGGCTCCTGTGGAGAGGAAACGTGGTTTTGATGCGCACTGAGAGACCAGGACATGTGCACGCCTGCTTTACAGCCCTCGCCGCGTTGCTGGGGCTGGATCCACTTCGCTCTCCTTTGGTTCCTTGTTGTGGTCTGGATGCGCACCCACGGTATTGCGGCAAACCTGTCCCAAAGCCACGGGTCTCGGGAGAACAGCTATGAAAGGTTGAATTGCTGTGTGATCGAGGACCATCCTCTTAAAGCACAATGTAAATAAGGCTGTTTGTGTGTCTTCCAGGCAGTGCTGTGGAGAAGTCTTTAGCTGTCAGCCAAGGTGGAGAACTCTACGAAGAGTGGCTGGAGCTTCGAAACGGCTGCCTGTGCTGCTCAGTCAAGTGAGGAGAGTGCCAGTGACGTGCTGTGAATGTTTTCCGATTGTGCTTCCTGCTCCGAGAGGCTGTGGCAGTCACTTCACTGAGTTGACAAAGTCAGCTTTGCTGTCTGCAGACCGAAACTAGACTTACTAGGCTGTGTTTTCCTCAAGTGTGTCTCCCTGTTTTGTTTATTCTTTTCTACCTGCTCTAATGCTTTCTTGGTTTTACTGACCTTTTTATTTTGTTGCTATCAGGGTTCATTAAGTTTATGTTCTGTGCATGCATGAATGTCTTATTTCGTGCATAAAAGCCATTATTCTGCATTTATTAGGCCATTGGTCTTACTTACTTAAAATTTTTTTAACTTGTCTAAGAACAAGAAAAGAGGCCTTCAGGAGAGAAAAGCCTTGCGTTACGTTCCACCAGTTAGGCTTCCAAGGGCAGTGTCTCTGTTTCCTTATGTGCTGCGCCCTGAGCCTGGAATCGTGCCTGACACATAGCCGTGGTGTCTATGCCATTGGATCTGTTCTGACGCACAGAGACCTGGTGCTTGTCAGTGTATAATGCTGCCCAGTCCTTCGCCATCTCCACGTCTACTCAGCTTGAGCCTGTGGTAGTTACTCAGAGGTTTGTGGAATGAGCTCAGAAAGTAAGGGCCCATACTGTTACTCTGTACATTTTGATAAGGCTGTAAATGGAAACAAACTAATACATGGCTTTTATGTCTTTCATTAACATATTTTCAAATCCTTTGCCCATTTTTAACTGGTTTTTATTGTCTGTTGAATTAACTAGGTTCATTATAAGTTCTGAATACTGTTATTGTCGAGTGGGGACCCACCTGTAGCTGACCCTCCAGCAGGTTTTCAGAGGCGGTGTAATCAAGCTGCTGGTGGATTTGAACCACGTGCCTTAGGGATTGCAGTGCAGCTTATTACCACTAGGTCACCACAGCTCCCTTCTGAATAGTAGACTGTCTGAATTGACTGGACAGCAGTTAAAGACAGCCACCACCAGGTTCTGGCCCTTTGATGTGCAGAGATTTTCATTCTGATCAAGTCCAGTTTATGACATTTTCCTTTGTCAGAGTTTACTATTGCATTAGACCAGGGATCACCGAGAGTTATCCTAATTTATATAATACTATTTGGAATTCTGTAGTATTTTACACAAGCTGCTCATCAGGCTTGAAGTCATTTTTGTGTATTGTATTGTTGTTGTTATGTGCCATTGAGTCACTTGTAACTCATAGTGACCCTATGTACAACAGCCCTGAAACCTGCTCTGTCTTGGGCCAACCTTACTGTCTCTGACACACCTACCCCTCATTACCCCAGTCACTGAATCAATCCATCTCATCGAGGGTCTTCCTCTCCTGAGCTGTCTCTCCACCATTCCAAGCATGACGTCCCTCTCCATGGACTGGTCCTTCCTTGCAGCATGTCCAAAGTATGTCAGACGAAGCCTCAGAATCCATGACTCCAAGGAGCAGCCTGGCTTCACCCTCTCTAGGACAGACCTGTTTGTTCTCCTGGCAGTCTGTGGTATATTCAACACTGTTCCCCAGTACCATCACTCAAAGGCATCCATTCTCTTTCTTTCATCCCTGGTCTCTGACACATAGCAAGTGTAGTGTGAGCAAAAGTCAAGATCCATTCAGAGTCCCTGCATTCTGCATATAGCTGTCTAGAGGCTCAGCATTTGTTAAAAACTCTCCTTTGTCCCACCGAGTGGTCCTGGTCCCCAGTCGCAGACTTTCTGCAGCAACTAGAATGAAGTCCTGTAAGTACTTTATTTTCCTTTTGACACTTCTAACAAAAGGAAAAGTAAGCTGTGGTTCCTTAATTTACGGTAGCAGTATCCTCTTAGGCTAACCACTCTGATTTACACATTTTATAGGTGGGGATACAATTCTAAAACTATTACAGTAAGAGGAGCTTACTTCTTTTAAGGAACTCTAGTGGCAGAGTGCATTACATGTTGGGCTGATAACTAAAAGGTCGGCAGCTGAAACGACTCCTTGGGAAGAAGATGAGGCAGCCTGCTCTCGTTAGGACTTACAGCCTGGGGAGCCTATTGAAGGGTTACCAGGAGCCAGAGTTGACGGACAGCAGTGGGTGACGTATTTAGTCAGGAAAATAAGAAAGCCTTTTGCTTTTAGTGTTGGTAAAATTAAAACCACTCAATGTATGTGATTTCACTTTACCAATAGGTATATTTGCATCTGTTTTTATTTCTCTCCTTTGTTAAATATTCGGACATTTTTATTAGAAGCTCTAGGAGGTTAACTTTCACATACCTCCAGAGACTCTTATCTTGAGTTACTCGAATATGCTCTTAGTGAACGTTTCAAAATATCCAAGTGGTGATCTGTATGTTATGTTTTGCTGTTTCCCAGGGATAATGGCCTTAGAGCTATTGAGAATTTGATGCAGAAGAAGGGGAAATTTGATTACATACTGCTCGAAACCACTGGATTAGCAGATCCAGGTAAGAAATGCTGTCAGCAGTAACCAGAAAAGAAATCTCGTTGTTGTTGCTCAGTGCTGCTGACTTGACTAGCACCCCTAACGACCCCACAGACCACAGATCCGTGCCTGCTCTGCACCGTGCCCAAGCTCGCTGCCAGGTCGGAGCCCACTGTGGGTCACTGTCCTCCCTTCCCTGACCCTCAGCCTTGTCCAACATGGTATCTTTTTCTAAGGCCTGGTCCCTCCCGATAGCATACCCCAAGGGTGTGAGGTGGAGTTTCACTGTGCTTACTTGCGAAGAGACCCCTGGTTGGATAGGTATGGAGAAAGGATACATCCCTGATGCATTCCTTTCCCGATTTTAAACCATGCAATATTCTCTTGCTCTGTTTACATCACAGCTGCTTGGTCTAGGTATAGATTTTTGTATAAGCATAATTAAGTAATCAGGAATTCCAATTCTTCTCAATGTTAGCCATCATTTGTTATGATCCACATACTCAAATGCCTTTGCATAATCAATAAAATACAAATATTCTTCTGGTACTCTCTGCTTCCAGCCAACAACCCTCTGACTTCAGCAGTGATATCCCTGGTGCGTGGCCTCTCATAAACCCAGCCTGAATTGTTGGCAACTCTCCGTCAGTGTCTACTTGTAGCTGGTCTTAGATGATCTTTGGCAATATTTTGCTTGCAGATGATATTAAAGATACTGTTCAATCATTTCCACATTCTCTTGGATGACCTTTCTTGGGAGTTGAACAAATAGGAATCTCTTCCCTAAATTGGCCAGGTAGCTGTCATCCACGTTTCCAAGCACAGAAGGCACATCAGAGCCTGGATAGCCTGCCCAGGCCTGCATCTGTTAGTTGAAACGTCACTTGGTAACTCACTGATTCCTAGGACCTTGTTTTTTGCCAGTGCCTTCAGTGCAGCTGCAACTTCCCTCATCACCATTGGCTCCTTTTCATATCTGCTTCCTGAAAATTTCCCATGTTGACTAGTTCTTTTCTTGTTGACTGTGTATTCCTTCCATCATCTTCTGATTCTTCCTGGATCAGTCAAGATTTTCCCACAGGCATCTCTCAGTGCTGTAACTTGGAGCTTGCATTTGTTTTTCCGTTCTTTCAGATTGAGAAATGCTGAGTAAATGCTTCCTTTTTATTCTTCAGCTCTAGCTCTTTGCATATCCCATTGTAACGGGACATGAGTGTAATTTGTCTTCTTGAGCTGCCCTTTGACAAATCTTGGACTCATCTCTTTTACTTTGGCATCTCTTCCCTTTGTTTTGGTTTTTAACCTTTTTGAGGAAATGCCAGACTGCCTTCCTTAGGGGTTGTACCGTTTCACAGTCCCACCAGCAGTGCGTGAGAGTTCTAGTTTCTCTGCATCCTTGCCAACATTGATTGTTTACTGTTCTATTCAACTTTCAATTGCTACTGGGATGAGAAGCTATCTCACTGTTGTTTTGATTTGCATCCTCTGTTGGCCATCCCCATGTCTTCCTTAGTGAGGAGTCTTTCCACATCTTTTGCCCATTTTGCGATTGCTTTTCAGTCCTTTTCTTGTGGAGGCCTTGTCATAAGTAGTCTATAAATTTTCATTATGAGTCCCTTATCTGAAATTCCAAATATATCTTCTCTGTCTGTAGGCTTCCTTTTTAAACTATTGGAAAATGGTTTTGATGCACACAGGGATTCAATATTTAGAAGGCTCAATTAATCAATTTTATTCTTTCCTGGTTGTGCATTTTTTTTGCTATGTTTGCAAGCCTATTCATGCCATATACTAGTGCTTCATAATTTGTTCCTACTTTTTCACAGATTATTTTTATGAGTTTTGGTTTTACTCCTAGATCTCTGATCCTCTTTGGATTGGATTTTGTGTATGGAGTGAGATCTGGGTCTTGTTTCAGCTTTCTGCAGGTGGGTGTCCAGTTTTGCCAGCACCATTTGTTAAAGAGGCTGTCATTTCCCTTTAATTTCTTTTTTCAGATACCAATCGATCATAGATAGATCGGATGATATCTGAGTTCTTGATTCTCTTCTATTGGTCTATTTATTTGTTATAGCACTAATAATGTGCTATTTTGATTTCTATGGCCATGTAGATTTTAAGATCGGGAGTGCGATGCCTCCCACTTAATTTTTATTTTTCAGAAGAACTTTGCTTATTTGAGTCTCTTTCCTTTTTATATAAAACTGGAGATTCTTCCCTGAATGAGTTTGCTATCTGTATGGGGATTGTGTTGAAGCTGTAGTTTGCTTTTGGTAGGATTATCATTTTCACTATGTTGAACCTACCTATCCTTTAATAGGAAATGTGTTTACATTTAATTTGGTTTGCTATTGTTTCTTGTTGTAGTGTTTTGTAGTTGCCTTACTAGATCTTTTTTATTTCTATTCGGGTTTATTTCTAGGTGTTTCATCTTGTGATTGGCTATTGTAAATGGTGTTGCTTTTTATTGGTTGATTTCCTTTTCTTTTTAATTGTTTCTATAGAGAAATCCAACTGATTTTAGTATGTTGATTTTGTATCCAGCTGAAGTGCTCTACTAGGTTTTTGGTTGTTTCTTTAGGGAGGGTGAGATCCGGCTGCTCCTTGGAGGTAAGGATTCTGAAGCTTTGTCTGACATACTTTGAACATGTTACAAGGAGTGACCAGTCCTTAGAGAGGGACATCATGCTTAGGAGGTGGAGAGACAGTGCAAGAGAGGAAGATCCTGGATGAAATGGGTTGATTCACTAACTGGGGTAACGGGGGTAGACGTGTCAGAGACAATAAGGTTGGCTCAGCGTAGAGCCAGGGTTCAGAGATGTCGTACATAGAATCATTGTGAGTCATAAGCAACTTGACCGCACATAACAACAAACAGCAACAACATATACACTCTCATATTGTCTGCATTTAAAAGGCATATTGTTGTGTTTAGGTGCTGTCAAGGCCAGTATGACCCATAGAACAACAGATCTGAACCCTGTTCTGTGCTGTACAGTCCTCACAATTCCTGACACACTGGAGCCCATTGCGGCAGTTACAGGGTCAGTCTGCCTGGTTGGAAGTCTTCCTCTGCTCCACTGACCCTCTGCCTTTCCAAGTGTCATGTCCCTTTTCAAGGAATAGTCCCTCCTAGCAACATGCTGGAGTATAAGAGGCAAAGCATGATCATCTTTGCCTCCAGAGAGCACTCTGGCTGCATTTCGCCAACACCTGTCTGTTCTCTTGGCCTCCATGGGAGTGCAGTGCTCTTCTCCAACACCACATTCAGAGTCATCATTTCTTCATCTGTCATCTTTATTCAGATCCCTAACAAGTGACTGGAAAGACCACAGCTTGAATCAGATGCACCTTAGTCCTCACACTGACATATTACTCCTCAGTGATTTGGAGAGGTCTCTAACTTATTTAAAAGGCATAGCTCAATAGTAATTATTTCTATAAAACTCAGTGTATATGAATGATTGTATAAAAAACTGTACATGAATGGAAAAAAGTGAGATTGGTAGTTTTCCAACGTGACCTTTGGGTTGATTGCTTGCATGTTGTGAGGGCTGTGGCGTGCTTGGAGCTGGAGTGCTGGCCCCCTCTGTGGCAGCATTCCCAGAGCTGACCAAGCAGACCCTAGCCCGCTGCGGTTGGGTTCTTTCTGACATCGAGCAGTGGACTGAAACTGCCCTTCCGGGTTCCCAAGGCTGGAATCTTCAGAAGCAGACTGCCACTTGTCTCTTCCATGGAGTGACTGTGGGTTTGAACCACCAACCTTTTGGTTAGCGACTGAGCCCTTATCCCCTGTTGCACGGGGACCCATTTCCCATGGCTCAGGCAACCCAGGACACCTGACGTGGTCCGATGTTCCCTGGCGCCTGCTGAGAACACTGACCAACTTCTCCCTCCTGTTCATTCCTCCTGCCAAAGGTCTGCGTCCAGGTTTCAGTCGTCCTCTCCCCTGGAGGCTGAGAGCCCTTTGCCCTAGAAGGCTGGTTCTTCCAGGTGCCACCTGCAGGTACTGTTCACCTCACGGGCCTGTCTGTTGTTGGGATGTTGAGCCATGAGGACGAGTTTGTTCAAGGTGTGAAGACTGACGGCAGCTTGTGAGCTTTTAGGAGCACAGTCGCTAGGATGTAGTCCATTGCTTTGTGGACTGTCATCCGACTTTGATGATTGGCTGAGTGGTAAGGAATTGAGCTGCAAATGCCAAAGTACAAGGTTCAAGTCTAGCAACTGCTGCACAGGAGAAAGATGGGCAGTCCCTTCTCATGTGATTTGCTGCCTCTGAAAACTCCCTGGAGGGTCAGCTGTGGGTTGATTCTGAATCGATAATACGTAACAGCAACAACAACAAGGCTGACTCTGGGTGTGTGTGTGACTACAAGGTGGCGCCCACTCCTGGCTCTGCGTTTACTCGCATGTCTGCTCACTGAGAATCCTGCAAGTTGTTACCTGAATCAGAATCAGGGAAATTTAAAAGTTATTCAGTGGTTTATGGACGGTGTCGAGTCAGGTACTGAGTGAAGAAGTTGGGAACTTTGTTCTGATTTATTGCTCAGAGTAATGACACTCAGAGGACACTGACTTCGTCCACTCTTCACTCATTAAAATCACAATTTGGCCAAGAGAGTGAGAGGCCTTCCTGCCTCGCGGCTTCCTGTCCAGGAGCCCTGCCCTCTCCTGTGAGCTAAATACTTGTGGTGAAGTAATTTCCTTGAAGAGCACAGACATCGATTCAGCTCCTGTTTCACACAAATCCTATTTCAGTCAAATTGGAAAACTGTTAAGTTTTGGGGAAAATCAATAGGTACCTGGAAGCCATTAGGTCTGTGGCCCTCGCTGTGTCGTGCATGAGCGGTCACTGTAAACAGCTGACACGGCTCCTTGTTGACACAGGGATGGTGTGTGTGTGTGTGTGTGTGTGTGTGTGTGGAGGAGGGGGACATGACAGTGGCAGAGCCTGGAAGGAGCTCACCAGCCTCTTGTCCGACCTTGTTCTGTCCGACAGCTCTGTCACCATCCTGTGGTGCCTTCCCCTCCAGCTCCTTTCCCTGTGATGGTTCTTTGCAGTCATCAGGGTTGGTGGGTTGGTGCTGACCCAGCTTCAGATGAAAGAGTTTTTAATTACCTAGAAATGTGTTTTGCCTAGCAGCAATTTATTTTTTTTTACCAGTAGTAGTTAAATAGCATAAGATGTTCATAATAATATCAAAGCGTATGTTGTTGTTTGCCATCAATTTGGAATTGACCCATATCTGACCCTCCAGTGGTTTTTCAGGGGCAGTAAATCCCACAGGGTCTTACCCATCCTTCTGCAGCAGCTGGTAGATTCAAACCATGTGCCTTTGGGATTGCAGCACAGTTTCTCACCACTAGGCCACCAAAGGTGTTGAGCACATTATTTGGGAAGTTGGCCCCTAAGAAGAAGAATGTGGCATCAGGATTGGAGGCAGCCTTATAAACGCCCTTTGTTATAGAGATGACACAACGTGCTTACAGAAATACCTTAGCGGACAGTCAATCGTATTTATTTTTTTTCAGCCTGTTATTTTTTTTCTTTGGATCTGTATGTTTTCAGATTTCCCTTTATTTTGTCATTGAGATTATTGACAGCAAACTGAAACAAAACCAAAGCCATCGCCTCCCGGTTAACCCCAGCCTGCAGCCCCGGAGACCGAGTGGAGCTACCGAGCAGGGCTCTGGCGGGCTGGGCTCACACGGCTGTCACCGCGGCACCACCAGGCTCTCTCCCTCGGAGCTGGAGGGGGGTTCAGTCATGGACCTTTCCGTTCACAGCTGTGCACTTTATCCTCTGCACCACCAGGGCTCCTTATACACAACAGAACGTACCCGAGGCAGCATTTTCTTCCCGTCTCAGTGACGGATGACATTGTCCAGGCTCTACAGCCATCTGAACCGCCGGTGTAGCACCGCGTGTGGGTTGTCCCAGCTCCCTCGGCAGCTGTGCCCCTGGGGCCTTGGCTCTGTGCTCACAGCGGTGCTTCTAGGCACAAGCTGGGAGGAGAAGCTTGCTGCTTTGTTTGCAGGTGGTGAGAGACGGTGTTTTCTACACCGAAGAAATGCACGCAAAAGATGATCGATCCTGTCACGGCTCCCGGGAGGAGGCCGAGAGCACGTTTCACTTGCTCTCAGGGGCGTGGTCTTTTCAGTTTGAGGAAGTGTTTTCACTGAAGTCGTGCTCTTTTACCTTTTCAGGGGCTGTGGCGTCTATGTTTTGGGTGGATGCTGAGTTAGGGAGTGATATTTATCTTGACGGTAAGTTCAAACACCAGTTTTCTTTTGTTCATGGAGAGTTTTGTCTTTCTGTTCAAGAGCGCGTCTGTCCACTCACACTCCCCCATGAACTGCTGCACTGTGGTCCTTGCAGACTTGTTAAGTGTGCTGGTGCAGACAGTCATTGTCTTTGTGCTCTCTGCGGGGACTGTCCCCGGCTGTGTGATTTGTTCACTCCGTGGAATGCTGTTCCAACAGACCAGGCAACATGAGGACCAGATTCCTGTTCCTATTTCCCTTAGACCAGGAGTAAGCAGCCCCTCTCTCCACCTTCACTTGTTTTACCTAACACTTTGGGGCCATTTCATTTGTAGACAGAACTCAAGATGTTTCAGAGATTTTTTTTTTAGTTAAGCGTCTATGTTCTCTCCATCTCTCCTGCTTTCTTCCTTCACCTTCCTTTGACCCAGGTCTTTCACAGACCAGAGGGTGACACCCCAGACTCCTGGAAGCTGGCTGTGGGGCCATTGCAGCAGCTTCTTCAGTTGACCCTGGTATACATGACAGGCGATTCCTTAGACGTCTTTCCACTCCCCTTGCTCTTTGTGGAAATGGGTTAAGGCATGTATGCACATAATAGGTACATGATGCTGCGCCAGTTGACGGTTTGACAGGCGTTTCATGTGTGAGCTTTGTCAAAGATCTTAGGGGTGAGGTACCCAGTTACCACAGACTTAGTAAGCAATGACTTACAGCTAAGGAAAGTGTTTGTTTTGGATTGTGTGAAAATATTTGAAAAATACTGGTTAGAGCTACTTGTCACATTTGTGTCTTATTTTATATCCTAAACTTCTCAATGGCCAAGGAAATCTTATTTTCTTATTTATTTATGTATCGCTTACTTTACTATATTTTGTGTTTGTCAATTTACGTATTTAAAATGCTCCCTGGTACCTGCAAACTGTGCCTGGCACTAGGTACTCAGGACAGTTAAAAGGTATCACGTATTGGAATTGAATTAAACTGTATCTTGACAAGAGAAAGAACAACAATATTTTGTCTTACTGCATAACATTTGCACACTGTAGACTAGTAGTGTCGTGTGCCATCGAGTCAGAACCAACCCATAGCTGACCCTCCAGCGGGTTTTCAGAGGTAGGAAATTGGACAGGAGGGGATTATTTATCCTTCTTCCATGGAAGCAGCTGATTTGAACTGTGCGCCTCTGAGATTTCAGGGCAACTTCTTAAGCACTAGTTTTAGTTTTCATTCTGAAGCAGAGTTGCACAGTTATATGAATAAGCACCTTTTAAAAAGTGATTAAAATAGTTTACTCCTTTGTAGGCATCGTGACTGTTGTGGATTCGAAATACGGATTAAAAGTAAGTTGTGTCAGGGTCTAAGAGTTTGGTGAGGGGAGGGAGGGAGAAAAAAATGTACATGAGTAAAACACAATTTTAAAAAAAGTAAGTTGAAAGGTGGCTGCGGGGCACTCCTGTTGGGGTGTAGACAGCCACTTGGTTCTGTTCCTGTAAGAAGCCTGATCAAGTGAGATTTGTGGGTGTCTTGAAATGCTTATTTTGCATGAAATATTTTCTTTTGATGGCTCCTGCGGGGTGGGGGTGGGGGTGGGTGGCGCAGTTTGAAACTTCAGTGTCTCATCAGGACTGGGGTTGGGACCCAGCCTGGGTGCCAGTCCTCATGGTCATTGGCCCAGGACGTGCCCTGCCTGGCACAGGAGCTTGTCCTTGAACAAACCTCAAAGTCTTACCTTTTTATGTTGAGCTGCCATCACACACAAGGTCACGAGAATTGAGATGTTGACAAATCCCATGTCAGGAAAGAATGGCTGGCTCACCACAGAGGTTGGTGGGAGCTCCGAGACCATGGCCCTGAGTCACTCTTCAAACCTGGAATAGAATTGCAAAGGCATCCTGTGACTCCCCTTTCAGCCAGACACTAGACAGGGGTGTAATGGGAGCAGTACCACCAGGTGTTGGTCATTCCTTTGAAAAATTAAGATCAGAAGGGCAACATTTGCCCAGGATAAAGCCCAGAAGGCAAGAAAGGATAGACAGGGTGGATTAGTAGAGATCAGAGTCTCAGGAGTGGGGAGAGTGCATTTACATTTGGAATACTGCACGTTTCCAAGTCAGGGATGCATACCTTTTCAGTCTATATGTGAAACAGATCATTCGGGAAGCTGGGCTTTATGAGAAGGAATCTGGCATCAGAATTGGAGGAAGACTTACCAACAACTTACATTATGCAGATGACACAACCTTGCTCACTGAAACTGAGGAGGACCTAAAACGTCTGCTGCAGAAAGTCAAGGACTGCAGTCTTCAATATGGATTGAAGTGCAACATCAAGAAACCAAAGATTCTCACCACTGGACCAATTGGCAGCACCATGATAGATGGAGAAGAGATTGAGGTTGTTTATAATTTCAGCTTGCTTGGCTCCACAATCAACACTCTTGGCACCAGCAGTTGGGAAATCAGAAGACAGATTGCACTGGTAAAATCTGCAGTCAGGGACCTCTCCAGAGTGCTGAAGTGCAAAGATGTCAGTCTAGAGACTAAGATGAGCCTGATTCAGGTCATAGTCTTTGCAATTACTTGCTATGCATCACAGAGCTGGACAGTGAATAAAGATGACAGTAGAAGAATGATGCCTTTGAGTTGTGATGCTGGAGAAGAATGCTGAACATACCATAGACCACCAAGAGAACAAACAGGTCTGTCCTAGAGAGGGTGAAACCAAGTTTCTTCTTAGAGGCTAGGATTTTGAGTTTCTGTCCCACATACTTTGGGCACTTGGCCAAGAGAGACCAATCCTTGGAGAAGGACATCCTGCTTAGGGTGGAGGTACAACACAGGAGACATAGATCTTGGATGAGGTGGATTGGCAGAGAGACTAGGGTAATGGGGCAGTTGTGTCAGAGACAGTGAGATTGGCTCAGGATAAGACAGGGTTCAGAACTATTGTACACAGGGTCACTATGAATTGCAGGTGCCTCCACAGTACATAACAGTTAGTATTATAAAGCAACACATGTATGAATGGTTGGATGGAACACAGATTTGATTTGTAAACTTTACTCATTTAATAAAATACAGCTTTATCTCTGAAGAAACCAGGGCTTGTGTGTAGGATTAACAAGGAGGGACTCTCCGTTGAAAGGCATCTTTTTGTGAATGTTTTCTTTTTTAATTTTTTTTTTTTATTATTATTTTGTGTGCGTGTACCGTCAAATCAGATCGATCTGACTGGTACAGGAGGATATTGCGCCTCCTTCTCCGGCAGAGCATCTGGTGGATTCGAACCGTGTTCCTCTGGGATTGCAGTGCAGCTTCTTGCCACTAGGCCACCAGAGCTCCCCTGTTTTCGTAACTCTCAGGGTCCTTGTGTATTTAAAAATTACTCAGTTGTTAAAAACGTTGAATGAGGATTTTAAACGCATGCTGTTGCTTAGAAGACAATGGTGTTTCTCTCAGCTTTCCAAGTTAAGTAGCATGAGGGCAGAAAAGTGTGAGAACCCTCGTCTTAGTCCCCTGGGCCCTAGTTCCACTTATGATCTGTGGATCAAGACCACTGGAATGATTTCTTAAATTTTAATATTTTTAAAATTCATGTTGGCTTTATATTTTGGGGTGTCAAAACCCTTGAAGCTTGGCTTTTTCGCCCTCGTTGAGGGGGCATAGTCTCCACCTACTTTAACTGTGGACATATGGTCTTGCAAATCATCAACAGCTGTAGGTCCAACATAAGAGAGAGCTTTCCACCCTGTAAAAAGCAGTGACAGTGGTGGAGAGACTGTCTCACAGCTCTGAAGAGACTGGCAAGATGTATCCAGAGGGGCCCAGGAGATGGAGCCGCAGTTAAAAGTTTTGCTTGCTGGATGATTAAAGAAAAAGCTGACTTGTAACTTCTCTGAGATAAAGTTTGCTGAGTGAGGAAACCAGAGGCATCTTGCATTTGTGCTTTTGAACTGAACCTGAACTCTCGCTGATTGAGGTATTGTGCCATGCTTACCTGCTTTGGGACTGCTGGACTCAATCAGGACTTGCATTGTGAGATATTCTTTGCCTCTCCAACCCTCCAACCTATTTTGCTAGTAAACCCCACAATTATGAGTAAAGTCTCTGAATCTTGCCATGAACGTTGGACCCAATGAGTGATAAAAATAGATGCAGGAGCATGGCGGGGGATGGGAGGGCATATCTGACCATGTAGTCCTGTCCTCATTCTGAATATTGATGAGAGTGTGTTTGACTGCATCTCTGTGTCGATTGATTACCACTGTGGCTTATCTATGGGGTAGACTGCAGCTGGGATCTGTTTGTGACCAACATGGAGGATGAGATGTTTTTTGTTTTGTTTTGGTTTGGTTTTTTGATAGGCTTTGAGGGCCCTACTCAAAGTCAAACTCTTGGCTACTCCATCTATCTTATGATAATAGGAATAACTGTGAGTTAAATAGAAGCCATTATCAGAGTAGAGGAGGCAAAAAGCAAAATTGCATTCTGAATAATGCAAACACAGGAACCTTTTAACCCCCTGCCACCTTGAGCAGACCTCTGAAATGATAAAATCAATATCCCTCCCCCAGGCTGACACCGTGTCAGGATAAGGGAAACTTGAGATTTTCTACGTCGGATGCCAGATAAATAACTTTTCCTTTATATAAAGAATTTGCCCACTTGTCCAATTGTTTCGGTTGCTGAGCTTGACCTCAGTAGCTGCTTGTGATTCAGAGAATTCCGCGGCCGAACAAGTAGTGACACTTGGATAATGGGCAGCAATTTGAGGTGTCATGCTCCACAGACCAGCACATCACAGGCAGGGCTGAGGCATGGCACCCGCTGGCCAGCCAGGCAAATTGAAACTGAAGTGGTAATTGATATCATGGGCTATCACTCTAACGACACTGTCACCCGTTGATCTGAAATATTCATTTTTTAATCATGGACAAAGAATTGGACACCTTAAAATGACAGCTCTTGAGACTTGGGACCTGACATCCTGGCTGCCGACACTGTTTCCCCCAGGTCTACAAATGTGACAGCGTTTAATGCCTGGGAATCAATGAATGAAGTTACACAGGAAGGGTCAAGCGAGAGGACCCTCCGCGTCCTCTGCTAGATTGCACAAGCTGCTGAAATAATTCTGTCAGACGCCATTCGGCTTTGAAAGGGTCGGAAAGATAAATAGACTGACGTTATGCAATCATTTTCTTAAGCTAAAATCATCTTTTGAAAATGACATCTGACATCTTTGACATGAGATTTCTTTCTCCTCTGGCCCACACCACTGTTCCCTTCTCAGTCAGTGAGTTTCCAGATAGTTTTATTTTCGTTTAGGGCCTTGTCCATCTCGTCTCTCTGTTTCTACAGAGCCGGGCGCCCATGGCCTCACTGGTGCCGTGTCTCCACTGATGCTGCCTTATTTTCCATTATTATTTGCTTCCACGTTTACTCACACATACAGTGTTTCATGGCATTGATGACAATCCCAGCATTGTGTCGTCTTTCTTCCCATTGTCCCTCTGTGCTTCCTGCCTGTCTGTCCCCTCACTGGTGTTGTTCTTAAGGGTTCCTTTCTTTTTTATGATAGGCAAAATTCAGAAGTGGTTGTTGTGTGCTCTTGAGTTGGAACCAAACCATAGCAAACCCTCCAGCAGGTGTTTAGAGGCAGTAAATTATGAGAGGAGATTTCTCATCCTTTCCCAACGAGCCTCTCATAGATTCAAACTGTGTATCTTAGGGGTGGCAGCACAGCTTCTTAGCACTAGGCTACTAGTGAGATGGAACCCCTCGGTCTTTTTTATATCTTGACAAACCACTGAGAAACATGGCTCAGTCAAGTTGCTGGATCACCTTCCCCACCACTGAACTATTGTCTCACATGCAGCATGTTGCGAATGAGGTAGTGGATAAGTGGGGAGTTATGGGAGTGTCTGTTTTTATGAAAAGGTAAGGGCAAAGGTGTTAAAATCCCAAGAAACCTTCACCCAAAACAAAACCTCACATATTGGTTGGAAAGGGCACTAAAAATGTTCTCAGGTAGAGATGTCAATTCTGACTATGTGTAAAGGTCATGGAGTGGCTGCAGTGTTTACAAGAAACAGGACAGCGTGGCTCAGAGTCGGCTCTCCATGTTGGCCTGCCAATAACTACTCCTAAACTTTGTTTTTGTTTAGCATCTCACAGAAGAAAAATCAGACGGCCTCATCAATGAAGCTGCCAGGTATTTCCTATCGGACATATATTCTGATTATTGGCTAATTGTAGAAAAAAATAGTAATTTAAAAGCCAACAGCAAAGTGTTGTTGTTGTTAGGTGTTGTCAAGCTTAGTACAACCCAGCTCCACCTTCCCTCTTCAAGGAATAGCCTTTCCTGGCAACGTGACCGAAGTAAGTGAGGTGCAGCTTTAACACCTTTGCCACCGTGGAGGCTCTGACTGCACCTTGTCCACGACATAGCTGTTTGTTCTTTTGGCCGTGCCCGGGACACTCAGTACCCCTCCAACACCCTAACTTAAAGGCATTGGTTCTAAGAGCTGTGGTCCAGGAAAAGGCCTGTTCACGTTTCTGTGTAGTTGAATGATTCGTCACGATCTGATAACCACGACTTTATTTAACCTCTTTTTACAGGAAGGCACAAAGTGATCCCTGTGCCCTGGGCTCCTCAGTGGTGAAGTACTGGTTGAAAAGATCTCTCTGTTCCCATACGTTTCCTTTGCCCTTGGAGATGAGTCTAGCAAAGACGTGACAGTGATTCATCTGGTCTCAGGGCTGACGCGCAGAGCAGGGAGGAATCAGTAGTGAAGTCGTTTTGCACGTGGCCTGTAGAGCATTAGGAGTTACCAGAACACCTGTATGTTCCTGATTAGTTTACCTTCAGACCTAGACATAATTCATCTGCATACCCCAAGCGTATTCGTGCTAATGGGATGAAGGTTCTGCGGTCTTGGCAGTCACTAAATGTGCTCCCAGCCACCTGGGTTCTGCCTCGGATGATGCAGATGGAGGGAATAGAGAGGGGCAGCATTTCATCCCCCGTCCTCTGGGTCGGGGTGAGCTTTCAACTCACGGCACTGGGTGCGGAGCTGAGGTGGAAGTTCTCCCAAACCATGGTGCTTCTGTAACTTGTCTACTCACTTTAAATCCTGTGCATTAGAGAAAATGTCAATAAGCCGAATGGAAAATAACAGAATGTAAAAGGAAAAAAAGAAAAGTAGGCCTTCAAGTTTCCCAGTTGAGAAGTGACCACTGCTTTGAGATGGATACATTTAGTCTTTGCTCGTGTCAAATTGACTTGCGTTGAGTTTTTCATGTTGTTTAAACTCTGTTTTTAATGTAGTACGGTTAATTTCATTTTGAGATTGTATTTGAGATTTGTTCCCAGCCCTTATGCTGTACCTTCAGGTGGCGTAAGGGTTGGGAACTGGTAGTCTTTTGAGAACAATTCCTGAAGAACTGAGAAAAATGTCAGACATCCTCAGCTATACGCCTACTGGGGGCGGGGGGGGGGAGATATCTTTTTGTTTTCAGCTCTAGGGTGATATCTCTTATAGAAAATACAGCTTCTGTTTTTGTGAGGCGCCCTGGGCCAGTTGTGACTCACAGCTTCTAGTTACAGTCAGTTATTTTGTTTTCCAGCAGCATCCTGTTAGCTGGAGTCTTTAAAAAGGTTACTTCTTTTTTCTTTAAATTGCATTTCTTTATTCTTAAAAGGATTTTTATTAATCTGTTTCTATTAAGTATGTAATATATATTCATCATGACAAGGAGGGCATTGTGAGACCCTGAAGTAACTTGTGGGGTCCGCGCTTAGAAGCCCGTGTCTGGCTGGTACGAGGGGACCTTGTTCTGTGTGTTCCTGGGAAGGTGAGGGTGATTGTTAAGTGGAGCGTTGCATCACTAGGCTGTCCTGGTTCCTACCAGATTGAATGCCTGAAGTCTGTGCATTTCTTCACAAAGAAAAGTCCCCGCTGAAATGACCGCCCTTTGGGTGGCAGCACTGGGAGGCCCACCTTTGCAGCCTGTGGGTTGACTCAGCAACTGTTCTCAGAGTGAATAATGAGAACTGCGGATTCACACAGTAATGAAGGTAACTCATCCTTACCATCTGAAGACTGATAAGCTGGTTAAGAGTATTCCTTGGAAAAAGACATTATACGTGGAAAGGTCAGTGAAACAGAAGAAGACCCTCAAGCAGATAGCTCACCAGTGGGCCCCAGCGTGTGAGGACGGCACAGGGCAGGGCTGGTTCAACTCTGTTGTTCACAGGGTCTCTATAAGTCGGACTTGACAGCCCCTGACAAGAAGTCACTGTGTTACTGGATTATATCCAACGGTTAGACCTCTTTTCTGATGACGTCGTTCTGCGTGAAGTGTCCCTGGTTTTCAGTCCTTTGACTTTTGCTCTTTGTCGCTGACTTAGGCAGGTGGCCCTGGCGGATCTCATCATCATCAATAAGACGGATCTGGTTCCTGAGGACGGTCTAAAGCAGCTAAGGACGACCGTTAGGTACTGCCCTGTGCGTGTGTCCATCCCTCACAGTCGTAAATCTACACCGTGACTCTCTGCCCGAGAGACTGAAGACGTGAGGTTGATGAGCTTCTCAAAATAAGTCGAACGTAGAAGCAGTCTTCCACTTCAGAGACAGCCCCTGTTTTAAGATTCTTGTATTCAAGGTTTAGTCATTGAAAATGGGATTGTGTTGTCTCTACTGTTGAAATTCACTTTTCTAGTGAAAAAATTCTCTGTTGTTGGGTGACATAGTCTATTCTGACTCTTAGCAACCCTGTAGGATAGAGCAGAACTGCCCCTTGGGGTTACCAAGGCTGTAAGTCTTCACGGGAGCATTCTGGCCCCAGGGAGTCACTGTTTTACTGGCTCAGGAGGCGGAACTTACTCATACCTGACCGCTAGTGGGTTTTCAGAAACTGGACATTGCAAGAGATGAGACTGCCCATCTTTCTCTTGAGCATCTAGTGGATTTGAACTGTGTGCCTTTGGGTTGGCAGTACAACTCCTTACCCACTAGGTCACTAGAGTGCCCTTATTTAGTGACTGGGGGAGGAAATCGTGGAGAGAGTTGCCCCAGAATAGTTGTATGTGGGAGCCCTACCCCGGAGGATAAGCTCAAGCAAGTAGCAAAGGTCTGGCTGGTAACCCTGAAGATGGTGGGAGGGTGATGAGGGGAGGTTTGCCGGGAGGAGTTCTGCCAGTTGTATTTGGTGTCACGCAGTGAACCCTCTCATAACGGTGATGGGACAGGGAGGACAGGATGGTGAAGGGTGGGGCTGGTGACTGGAGGACTTCATTTTACAGCAGAGCCAGGGGTCCCTGAATGTGGAGGAGGCTAAGGGCAAAACCAGGTTTTCATTTAACAAGTGTCTTGTCATGTCCTGTGGGTGGGGCTGTGAGAGTGAGTGTGTGTGTGTGTGTGTGTGTGTGAGACACACACACATGCACGCACATGCACGCGCACACACACGCTGGCCGTGAGGAGGTGTGCCTGGTGCCTATAAATAGAGGCTGCCTGACTTAGCATTTGAGGAAAACAATAATTAAACTGTCCAAAACTGATTATTTTCTCTTTTTTCTACTTTAAAGTATACTTATAGATCCTTGTTTTACTCTTTTGGAAAGACTGTACCTTCTGTTATTTTAAAATTATGAATTAATGATTAATACGGTATTAGTAATACTTTTCTTCCTCCTCTTTTTATTTATTCAGGTCAATAAATGGACTAGGGAAAATCTTAGAAACACAAAGATCAAGGTACTTTTTACCAGCTCTTAACTGATATTAATAGCAATTAGTATTGTTGGTTAATAATAAGTATTAAGTAATTGATAACAGGCCTAATTCTGGATATAAGAAAGACGCAGGTGCGTGTTTTTTTCAGTGAGACCCCAAACCACTCTCTCTAATATTTTTTTATAAATTAGTTTATACATCAAAAAAAACGGGACTACCTTTTCTGTCATTATCAATGGTGTCGCAACATATCCTGTTAGTATTGTAGCTAAAAATCAACATGATACTATGATACTGTAATACCCCTAGTAAAACCAGCGTTGATTTATACACTGACTTATACAGATGTTTTTATTAAGTATGAAGATTTCTATATATTAAATTTTTTTCCTTGTCTATAGTATTTCTGTGTTTTAAAAAAATAGTATTAAATGCAGATTAATCTTCATGTCTACATTTTTGGCCACAGATCCTTGGAGGGTTTTGTTGTTGTTGAGTTGTTTACATTTCCAGGATTTCACCGTTATTTCGCCCTCCAGGGTCGATCTCTCTGATGTGTTAGACCTCCATGCCTTTGACAGTCTCTCGGGAATCAGGTATGCGTTCAGCATTTGAGTCACTGTGGTTGTAGCGTGCTTTCGTTCCAGGGCTGGAGGGCTGATTTACACAGTTCTTCACCTGATTTCCGAGCCCTGGTGGAGCAGTGGGTTTAGTTCTGGCTGCTGTCTGTAAGATTGGCAGTTCCAGCTCTCCAAGTGCTTCCTTTGTGGGAGGAAGATGAAGTCGTCTCCTCCAGGAAGGATTCCAGACTTGGAAGCAGTGCAGGGCCTCCCGCTCTGTCCTGAGGCCACTGTGAGGTCGCGTGCGTCCACGGCAGGGCTGCTCCGGGGCTCGGACTCCACGGGGCTCAGACTCCATGGTAGGGCTGCTTTGGGGCTCAGACTCCCTGCTGTTCTCTGGCAGCCACCTTGAAAAGCACTGGGGTTTGGTTATTTCAAAAACAAAAGTTACTTGCCTAAGAGCCCTGGTGGCAGAGTGGTCAAAGCACTTAGCTTTTAACCAGAAGGTTATCCATTCGGCCCACCTGCCGCTCTGTGGGAGAGAGAAGGGCAGCCCACTTCTGTAGAGGTGACACCCTGGGCACCCCTAGGGCAGCTGGCTCTACTCTGTCCTGCAGGGCCCCGGTGAGTTGGATTTGACCTGCTGGCAGCAGCTTTGTGGGATTTCTTGAAATTACAGCGTGAGTCGTGGTTGATTTAGATGAACAGTTAATGTGTGCTGTCCTCTTTCTGTGGAGAGAAAGCATGGATGCTGTAACTCGAGGCGTCCCAGACGCCCCACCCTCCCCTGGGGTGGTGGGCTGTCTTCCTTCTCTTCTGTCACCTTTTACTGTTCAGAGCACCCAGTTCTTACTTTATTCCGTATTTTTTTTCCTTGGGACAAGATGACGGTCCCACCCCCGTGAGGAAAGTTCGGTTGTCATTTTTGATCACGTGTGACCTGAACACTTCACCCTGCTGGGATGGCTTGCTGTCAGGGTGGACACGGTGATGGAGTGGGCACGGCAGGGGTTTGGGTACATGGGTTCAGGACCTGGTAGTGCACATCTGTCCTCATACGAGCTCACACTGCTCTCTCTTTATTGGACCTTCAAAATGTCTCTCAAGGCGAGCTCTGTGGCCTAGTGGCAAGAAGCTGCACTGCAATCCCAGAGGTGAGCTGTTCGAATCCACCAGATGCTCTACTGGAGAAGGAGGGACAATCTCCTCCTGTACCAGTCAGACCATACTTGACAGTACACACACAAAAGATAAAAAAAAAATATATATTAAAAAAAAGTCCTTCAAGCTTGCTGTCATCAAGCCGATCCCAAGTCCTGGTGACGCACCATCGCATTCCCATGGCGACAGCCTGTCTTTCTCCCTGGGAGTGCCTGGAGGCTTTGAACCACCAGCCTCACAGCAGCCTGACACAGTCCTCACCACACCAGCAAGGCTCTGGATTTGCCTCTTAGAGGGCACGTGGAGGCAGGGAACGCACACGCCTTGGAAATACCGAGCTTTGTCGGGGACAGCCTTCCTGGTCTCCAGCTGGGTGTGATTCGATTTGGCGTTCTCCCCACTAAAAATCCCATTGAGCCCACTTTCCTGCAGTTTCTACAGGCTCAGGGTCCTTCCTAGATTTGATGGGGCTGCCAAGTCGTCCCTCCCTGCTCTCCAAGGCCAACTTCTGCGGGGTTTGAAGCTCTGTCTCCTCCCTGTCCCCACCAGTGTCTGAACACACAGGCACTTTGTCACGGCTACGGCTCGTCCACCGTGTTGAGCCCCCGATTCCGGCTCTTCTCTCTCAGCCGTAGTCAGCGCTGGGGAGGGCTTCTGACAGGGGATACGGTTTTCTAATAAGTAGTTAAGTTCAGAAAGCCCATCCTTCCAGTGGCTACTGTCTCAGGATACCAGCGTTGTTTTCATTACAGGCACCATGGGGAGAGTTAATGCTAAAATGTTTACAGATATTTTCCTAAGCTGGTTTTAAAAGAATATACTAGCATATTTAAGCACAAATGCTAATGCCAGAAAACTAGTTTTCTTTCCTCGTGGTCGTGTGGCCAGTTTATACATGTATGTGTCTGTGCAGTTTTGAAAGAAAAGGTTTAAAACACTTAGCCGTCAGCTTTTGTCCACTAGTCTGTAAACCGTGTGTGAGAATGGAACCACTGAGTGGAGTCAGCGACTCCGTTTCTGCCTTCGGGGTCCGGAGTCTGCTCACGTCGGTGGTTTGCTGGATAGATTTCTGATCTGCTTTTCTCAGTTTGCAGAAAAAACTTCAGCATGTGTCACCAACGCAGCCTCACCTGGATCAGGTACAGTGTGTTTGGAAACTGTCTCTCCTTGATTAATTTGACTGTGCTTGTCTTTTATTACCGTCTCTGTGGAAGTTGTGTTTGAAGTTTGTGGCAGTGTTCAGAAGGCTGAGTGCACTTGAGATCCTCCAGGCCTGCCTCTCGCCCTGTGATAGGAACCCATCACGGCGAAGGGATGTAGAGGAGGGTTTGGTGGTGTTGGCAGTGACTGGCTCAGCGAAGGAAGGAAGGAACGCCGCTGTGTCCTGGTGGGTGGAGACGTCAGCTGCCGGTGGAAAGATTCCCTCTGCACGCCCACGAGCTGCTCCTCGGGTGGGAGACGAGGCGGCCCACTTCTCTAAACACTTAGGAGCCCTGCTAGCGCAGTGGGCTCTGTGTTGGGCTGCTGAGTGAGAGGTGGGCAGTTTGAACCCAGCACCCGCTGTGCTGCAGAGATGAAGCCGTCCGCGACCTGGAAGCCTGCTGGAGGTTCTCCAGGAGTGGGACTCGACTTGACCTTAGGCTGTGCGCTCTGACCTTCAGTTTACAAAAGCAAGTTGTCTAAAAGCAGAGTGTGTTTATTAAGATTTTTAAAAGTAAGTATTGGTAGCTGTCTGGCGTGTTAGAGCCTAGTTCGGAATTCTCTTCAGTCGGCTGCTGGACATTCCTGATAGCTGAGCAAGAACACATTTGGTTCTTTTCCAGGTCAGCACATTTTGTGCCGGCCTTGCCCAGCTTTTTGTTATTCTCCGAGGACATTTGCTAAAAATCAGCTCCAATCTTTTAGGGGAGAAAATCCACAAAGAACCCCATAACAGTGTTAAAGATGTCATTGTGAGAAGTAATGAGCACGCTGTCAGTAGGCCTGCCTCCCCACTCAGTCTGTGCCCAGACCCTCCAGCTCGTCCGAGCTCCACAGTCCATCTGTACACCTGACCCTGGACGTGGCTCGTGTGTTTTTGGACTTCTACCACTGAAGGTTGTGGGCAGAGTATGTCAGCTGAGTTGCCGTGGACACATCCCATGAGGGTTGTCTGTGTGACGCTGCCCCCCAGGTCATTTCTGCAGAAGAGCCGTCCTGTGGGTGGTGCTGGTGGTCACCCACCTGGCGCAGAAAGATGGCCCGGGTCCACATTGTCAGGGGACTCGGACGGTCGCGAGAATCATTCCTGCCTGTCCTTGGAAAGCTAATTAAATACGGAGTGAAGGAGGGAAGACCCTCCGTGAGTGGACTGACACAGTGACCCCAGCAGTGGGCTCGGCTGTCAGAGATGATGAGGAAGGTATAGCACAGGTCAGGGTTCAGATCTGTTGTCATCAGGACGCCACGAGTCACGCTCGACGACACCTCACAACAGCAACGTGCAGGCGTTGTAAACAAATCACCGTGTCTCTTGACCGACAGACTATCGCTACAGTCACATTCGAGGTGCCGGGAGATGCGAAGGAGGAGAGTCTGAACGTCTTCATTCAGGTGAGTGCGCTTTTCACCCCTCGGAGATGCAGTGATGTCCTTGAGCGTGTTGTCACTGCGGTCACCCCTCAGGGATGCAGTGACGTCCCTGAGCGTGTTGTCAGGAGATGCAGTGATATCCCTGAGGTGTTGTCACTGCGGTCACCCCTCGGGGATGCAGTGACGTCCCTGACCCTGTTGTCACTGCCTGGCCGTGTTGTCACACGGTTACCCCTTGGCGATGCAGTGACATCCCTAAGCGTGTTGTCACTGTGATTGCCCGTTGACGTGCAGTGGCGTCCCTGACCGTGTCGTCCCTGCAGTCGTCTCATTCCCTGATGCCCCATCACAGAATCTGCTGTGGGAGAAGTCTGTGAGGAGCCCGGACGGCCACTGCATGGAGGTCATCCGAATGAAGGTGGGTCCGCATCTCACACGCTGCACTCGGAGCCCCTGCGTGGGGCCCTGAAGCCGTGTTTGGTTTTCTCTCCTCTGTAATCTTCTTTGGTGGGCTTCCACGTCGACGAATAACTGAAAGGTCAGCTGTTTGAGTCCAGCTGCTCCCAGGGAGAAAGCAGGGCCCTGTCTTCCCGTTAGGACTTACAGCCTTGGAAGTGCATGGGAAGTGAGTCAGGATCGACTCCGTGGCAGTGGGCTTGGCCGAGGGGGTTGGTGTCAAGCCAGGCGATCATTTAACAGGTAAGAAATGTCTGTCCTGAGCACCAGGCTCTCTGAGCGCTCCCTGTGGGGCCAGCTTGACTAGAGCGGCTTGAAGGCCTGGCACCTCGGGCAAGGTGTGTTAGGAACAGCTCAGAGCACAGGTGACAGCAGGGCTGTTGCTAAATTGTCCCTGCAGAAACTGCTGGGCTGGTTGTCATCAGTTGATGGACAGGTGCCATTCAGTTGGGGACAGCCACTAGTGACCCTGGGGAGAGCAGATCTGAACCCGTCCAGTTCTGTGCCGTCCTCACACTTTGACACACAAGAGCCCGTTGCTGTAGTCACCACGTCAGTCCACCGGTTCAGGCTCCTCTCCTTTGCCGACCCCCTGCCTTTCTGAGCATCACGTTCCTCTCCAAGGAACAGCCCCTGCTGGCAACACGCCTGAAGTGTGTGAGACAAGCCTCCTCCTTGTCTCCAGAGGACACTCGGGCTGCACCCTCTCCGAGACATCCATGTGTGTTCTTGGCCGTCCATGGCGTGCATGCGCGGTGCTCTGCTCCAGCACGGCCCACACGCATCATTTCTTCTGTCATCTTTATTCATCGTGAATTGTGTTCATTACTACCTGGATTTCCCAATACACTTGAGAAGGATGCCTCCTCCCCCACCACACGTGCTTTAGGCACAGGCATTGTTTACGTGGGTTTCAAAACAATTGCCCCTGATCTGTCTTCACTTCATGGCTGAGGGGGGCTCTGACAGAGGGGGGCTCTGGTGGTTGCTGTGTACGTCATAGTTGAGCCACAGCTTCCCTCGTTGCTCCCTTGTTGTTGTGGAAGCAGGGGGCTTCCACGTGTTGCCCGTCTTCTCCACCCCCGGTGTGTGCGCACTTACACCTGTGCCCGTGGCACGTGGTCAGTCAGAGTAGACCAAGCCCCCCTGAGTTGACTTTCCAGGACATTGTTCCTCATGGGGACGTCAAGGCCCAGGTTGGCTCCCTGAGCTTTCCCTCTGGTTTTGATGCACGTAGTAAACACCAGACACAGGTCGTGTTCAGAGCAGAGTTATGAAGAGGGCGGTGTCAGCCCCATGTGAGGAAGCCCTTCACGTTGGCTTTGGGGGGGCGGGGATTGTTCATGAGAGGCTTGTCCCAGGGCCGGGCCTCTAGGTTGTGTGTTTCACAGCCTGCTGTTGTTGGCGCGCCCACACCTGTGTGTCCAGAAGGTGGATCCGTGAAGTGCTTGCCATCCCTGTGTTCGTGGTGGCCACTGGACCCTCCTGTCAGTGCCTGACCTCCTGAGGCCCCTAGAATGACAGGCTGAGATTGGGAAGGTTTTGGGGACTAGGCCTTTTCTTCACCTGTGCACCAGCACCTCTGCAGGGCCACCCTGAGGAGTCTGGTCCCTCCCAGGTCACAGCCACCAGCGGGCTCAGCAGCTCCTGGGCACCATTTCCCTTCTCTGATCTGCCCGGAATCCTGGTCTGTGGCTGCTGGCAGTGTAGTGCTGAGGTGGGCAGACATCCTCAAGTGCACCTGTGGACATGTGCACCGAGACCCTGTCCAGCTCCCTGGCTCCTCCCGACTGCCCCAGGGTGGGCAGTGTCCTGAGGCTTGGGACAGCTTTTGGGTGCTGGTCCTCTGGGGCTTTCTTTGTCCTGTTAATGAAAAATCCATACCAAATGGTGTTGGGTTCATTCTGATGTGTCTACAATTTGAAGAGGAAAAAGTGTTAGGGATAAGTAATCTGTTGACAGTGGTGCTTTCAGACACACTGAGGCTGACTGGCCCTGTCCTTGGAACAGGGGCTGGTGTCCATCAAGGGCAAAGCACAGCAGGTGATTGTCCAGGGCGTGCACGAGCTCTACGAACTGGAGGAGACGCCAGTGCTCTGGGCGGACGGCCCCGAGAGGACCAACAGGCTGGTGCTCATCGGTCAGTCCTCGGGCTGATGCTCCAGTGGGGGTGGGGTGAGCTGCTGGAGTCCCTCCTCGTGCTGGGGGGGACCTTTCCTTTACCACGTGGAGGCGGTGAGGGGAACTGTTCCTTTGTCAGGTGGAGGTGGCGAGGGGGGACCTTTCCTTTACCATGTGGAGCAGGTGAGGGGGGACTTTTCCTTTACTACGTGGAGGCGGTGAGGGGAACTGTTCCTTTGTCAGGTGGAGGTGGCGAGGGGGGACCTTTCCTTTACCATGTGGAGCGGGTGAGGGGAACTGTTCCTTTGTCACGTGGAGGGGCTGAGGGGGGACCTTTCTTTACCACGTGGAGGGGGGTGAGAGGGTGACCTGTCCTTTGCTACGTGCTGTCTCGTGTGCAGAGCTGTCAGACTGTTCACTTTGTTTCCAGTGGTTTTAGAAACTCGAGTGACCCGAAGTCAAATTGCATTGTGAAGGCTAAATAAGCTTTTAATCTAGAATTCCTCTAGATTGGGCAGGTAAACTATGTATTCGTAAGCATAAAGTAACCATATTTCGTTCTTTTTTCAGGCAAGAACTTGGACAAGGATATCCTTAAACAGCTGTTCACAGCCACGGTGATGGACACGGAGAAGCCGCAGACTCCAGCACCAGGCAGGGGAGGCCTGGTTTGACAATAGTCTCAGCAGCTCCTCCTGTCCCAGGGCCCCTCTTCCTGCCCTGGGGACCCTCCTCACACCCCGGGACCCCTCCGCCCGCCCTGGGAACCCTCGACAGGAGGGTAGATAGCAGGCTCGCACCTCATTTGGGGCTACAAGAACCCCATTTCTTTGCATTACTTCTGTTGAGAACTCCAGTGTCTCAGAGACCACCTCAGATCAAATCACACAAAACTGTAAACCCTGCACATTTGTGTAGGAATGGAACATCTTTCGAAGGTCTTTTTCTTTTTGTCTGTCTGTCTTTAAGACAGGCATGTCGCAAAAATCATCTTGCAGAGCTGGCTTTGGGGTTCACACGTGACGTACTCCTGGCCTCTGCAGTGGAAGCTGTTTCTGATAATGATGAGAGGGCCTCTGCTCCGTCCCCTTTTGGAAGGGCTCAAGCTCACTAAGTGGATAATGTATTAATAAAAACATTTTAAATTACTAAACAGCATCATTCTTACTATGTGAGATGAAGCTTGCTACGGCTAGAAGCGCGGTGAACAGAAGAAGGGGGGCGAAGACATTAAGTGCTCTTTGCATCAGTGTAAGATGCTCCAGTGTGAGGAGACCAGCCTGCATTTTGCATCCACTTGGCCGAAGCCGGTTAGGGCTTGTTTCTGTATTCCATTCATGAACTTGATGAGTGTTAAGTAGAAACCCCTTCCCACTCAGCAGTTCACACACAGCCTGTGTCGGGTCCTGATTATGACCACACACACAGCAGCCCTCGTCCCACTTCCCCTCGCGTCCCCAGCTTCCTTCCCTGCCCCTCTCCCGTCTGCCTTCTGAACCGCCTTCTTGGGCACCTGTGGCCTCTGCACTGCTGATGGCTTGACTGTCCTGAGGAGCACATACCCCACTCCTGCTGCATTCTCCCCATGGCTCTCTGTCTGTTTTAGGGTTTTTCATTTGAGTTAGTTCCTCTTCCTGCGTGTTTATTGCTGTGTTGTGGATGATGTTTCTAAGCAGGGCCACTCCCTCTCCCTGCTGCGGTCACTGAAGGCTTGTGAGTCCGTCTGAGGCCGGTGCTGTGAGCATGCTCAATGCCAGCGGTCAGAGCTGCCTGAACTTACACAGGGTGTGAATTTAGGGCAATTCAGGACTCACGATGGACCGTAAGAGACTGCCGCTCTGATTAGATGCAGTTTCCAGCCTCTGAGAACCCGCTAGACGGTCAGCTATGAGTCGGTTCCAGCTACAGCACATGGCTTTGATTAAATACGATTAAATACGTGAGGACTAGAGGCCCAGAGGGCTAGTACACAGGCCATAATGTGTACACTGGAGTCTGTACAGGACCGTTAGCACAAAGGATTACCGTTTAATGCACCAGTCGCTGGACAGGAGAAAGCTGGACAATCTCACACCAGTTGTCAGCCTTGAAAACCCCAACAGGGCGCTGTGAGTCAGAACCCACTCAGCAGCTGTGGGCCTGGAGTTGGAAAGCTGGAGTGTTGTCCCCATGCTCTCTGTGTGACAGTCCTGTGTGGCCCATGAGAAAGTCAGGTGGCTGGTGGAGATGGGCAGTAAATTAAAAGAAATTCATAGCCTTTGAGTGAGAAGTGACTCAGCTGAAACTTCCAGAAGGTTTCCAGAGGCCGTAAACCCCACAGGAGGAGAGTGCCCATCTTTCTCCAAGCAGCAGCTGGTGGATCCAAGTCACCTGCCTTTGGAATCGCAGTGTAAACCCTACCCATTTGGCCACCAAACTGCGGAGGGCCGGATACAGCGGTGTGGCAATGAATACAGCCGCCTGAAGGAGACGGGGGCTCAGTGATTTTCCCTGCAAATCTTTTTTCTCAGCCCCAGTGCCTGGAGAGAGCCAGCCACGGTTTACTTTCCAGTGGGAAAGACCCCAGCTCACTGGCACTGTGCTGCCACGTACCCCACTGCTGATGACTCGGCTCTGATGCATGTGGACCTCCTTTGGGTTTCGCAGGCTGTGACTGTTTGCAGGGGAGACTGCCCATCTTCCTGGGGTGGGGCACCAGGGCAGTGGACCACCATCTGTTAGCACACCGTGTAATGCACGGCACCTCTGCAATTCACGAGCCTGATGTCATAGTTGGGAGAGCCTTGGATTTCCTATCGGTATCTTGTGTGATACACTGACAGTATGTTTTTGACAGTATGACACCAAAGCACAGATTGGTGCTGATTTATATATGTTGTTAAGTGTAGTCTAGTTGTAGACAACTCATAGCAACCCTGTGAACAAAAGACCTGAACTGTGTTGTATAATTTCTCGAAGTTCTTAGAGTTTCCAGAAGCAAGCTGTTTTGGAAGTGGATGTCACTCTTGCTTCCAAGCTTGTTTTAATCAGGGAGCTCCACCAAACACTGTCCACCATGGGTGACCATTATCGCATTTGAGACATCACTATCACGGTGTTCAGCAACACAGCAACCACGAGTTACCTCTGTACAGCAAATAGACGACCAGTGCTATACCGCTTAGAAAAATGGTCAACAGAAACAATTAAAACCAGGCCTAGTCTACCTATGTAGACCTATGCTCGCATGACCAACAGACGCTGAGTAGTAAATGCAGCATAAATCTAGGGCCCTGCCCAAACCTAAATTCTTGGCAATAACTTGGCCTGCAGGTGCTGGTGACACTCCATGGTCTGTCAACAATGAGTAGCTGTCACTGCTTATCCCCAAGACTGACCTGGATGGATCCCCAGCATTTGGATGGATCTATTCGGATTTGAAAAGCTTACTCATTGTCGTCGAGTAGGAGGTGGATCTTAGCTGCAGGTTTTCAGAGGCATTATATCCCATGGGAGGAGACTGTCCATCTTTCTCCCACGGAGCAGCCTGGGGATTTGAACTGCTGGAGAGGCAGCATGTTGGGTTAGCAGCACAGCTCCCTGGGCGAGGCCACAGAACCCCTGCCTCTCTGGAAGACGCGTGCTCTGCATCTGGGAATACTGCCGGCTCCATCCGTGAGATGGCCCGCCAGCAGCAGGCTGTCTGAACTAGGGAGTGGTCCCACTCCTCCTGCCTCTTGTGACCCATGTTCAGAAATGAGTGTGCAGGGGTCCCTGAGCGTGCTTATTACGGCTGGACAGCTCTGCATTTTCGTGATTCCTGGGATCCTGGACGTGAAAGGTCACCACGTTGAGAGTCCTCCTCTCCGGCACTGATCCCCTGTTCTTCCAAACGTGTCCTTTCTAAGCACGTGCCCCTTCTAACATGCCTATGGGGTAAGAAGCTGCACTTGTCCCAGACAGGACATCCATGGGATATTTAGTACTTCTGTGTGGTTTGTTGGTTGGTGGGTCCCCCTGCCCCCAGCACTTTCTTAAATTCTGTCTTTTCATTTTTAAATATCCTGAATCCTCAGAAAAGATGTCTTTCAGAAAATGAATCATCCTGCCTTTCCCAGGTAGTGGGATTCCCAAGGCGATGGGAGCACTGTGCCCACACTGGGGGTGGAGGGCCAGCAGCGGCAAAGTCACCTCCGCCCCCACTTCTGCAAGTGAGACCCCCACAGAGGAGCTCTTATACAAGCACTTGGGGACCTCAGTCTGGTCTCAGGGCCTCCTCCACAGGCCTGCCTTCAGGCCTCTAAAACTGGGGGAGCCCAGGAGTGGAGGAGAAAAGACGAAAACAAACTTATGAGAAAACTGTTCCGTTCTCTTCCAGTTTTGGGACCATTGTGTAAAAGTGGGATTTTTCAAACTAGGGTCGCTGACATGTGAGGCCGCGCTAGTGCAAGCGTGTTGTTTTGTGAAATCGACTGTACTACACACGCGTCTTTGTGCGCAAGATCACGCCTAACACGCATTTTCGAAGGTGGTTAAATGTTTCCAAAAGCTCGAAATCGCCCTCCTGTTGCCCTTTCACTCTGAATCTCCACCACTTAATTAATGCCGTGGTCACTCAGCCTTTCCTGCAAACGAGTCTGGGAGAATTTGGCGGGAGAGCTTCAGGGAGCCAGGCGTAGGGCAGCAGGTGATGGGCCACAAACTCCTCTGCAGAGTCCACCAAGGAAACTTGACTGCCGTCACCACGGGCTTCAGGGCGCCCCGCCCAGGCCGGCCCCGGAGGCGGCCTTACTTTGTTGGACATCACGTTCTCATAGGTATTTTCACTTCTTCAGAAGCCTTAGGAGAGCCGGTGGCAGGCTGAGTCCCGATTGGCTGACCACGCCGCGGCTGGTGCCTCGTACCGGGTGACTGAGGGTTGTGCCTTGGAGGGGTGTTTGCACAGCGGACCCGTGGAGCCGGACAGGGACAACGACAGGGGAGGTGCAGAGAGAAGGAGCGGAGAGAGACTCGAGAGGCTTTACTAACTGGCCAAGCGCGCCTGTCCGGACGGCGTTGGAAGCAGGAAAGCTCAGACAGAAGGACAGGCAGTGGCGCGCGTGCCGAGCTGAGCCGGGGGAGCGAACCGCCAGCTTCGTCCATGGACTCTCCGGGAGCCGAGCGCCCGCGGGGCTCAGACACAGAGCGCGGAGACGGGGGCGTGGTGGGGGACGAGGAAGCAGAGGACGCGGGGGCCCCGTGCGGGCGGCCGGGCGCACGTCCCCGGGAGCGCACCGAGGGCGCACGCGGCCCGGGCGGCAAGTCGGGGGGCTCGGGAGCCCCTGCGGCCAAGCCGCCCTACTCGTACATCGCGCTCATCACCATGGCCATCCTGCAGAGCCCGCGCCAGCGACTCACGCTCCGCGGCATCTGCGCCTTCATCCGCGGCCGCTTCCCCTACTACCGCCGCCGGCTCCCCGCCTGGCAGAACAGCATCCGCCACAACCTGTCGCTCAACGACTGCTTCGTCAAGATCCCGCGCGAGCCGGGCCACCCGGGCAAGGGCAGCTACTGGGGCCTGGACCCCGCGTCCCAGCACATGTTCGACAACGGCAGCTTCCTCCGGCGCAGGAAGCGCTTCAAGCGCGCGCAGTCCGCCCCCGGGGAGCCCCCGGCCTGCGCTCCCCCCGCGCTCCTGCTGGCGCCCCCCGCCCAGCCTGGCCCCTCGCCCTTCCCGGGCCCCAGCTCGTGCGCGCTGCTGCACCCGCACCCTCTGCGCTACCTGCTGCTCCCCGCGCCCGCCTGCGCGGACCTGGGGACCCCTGGCGGCCTCCCGCCCGCGCCGTCCTCGCTCAGCTCCCGGGCCTGGGCCGGAGGGACGGTGCCCGCGCAGCGACCGGGGGGCGCGTGCAAGTCCTTCAGCATCGAGAGCATCATGCACGGGGTGCGGGCAGGGCCCCCGAGCGCCGCGCAGCGGCTGCCCCCCGCCTCCTGGGGCTACTGCCACCTGCTGCCTCGCGCGTCGTGCCTGCTGCACCCCCAGAACGCGCCCTGGCTGCAGGTGGCCGCCGCCGCCCGGACGGCCCTGCAGCCGGACGGCGCCGGGGTCTGCGCTCCGGCCAAGGCCCATGGCGCGGGGTTGATGGCCGCGGGGGGCCCTGGCCACAGAGAGGGGACCTCGCCGGCCTTCTGACTGCAGCGCGCCCCTGGCCTGGCGACTTCGCTCCCGTCCGCCCGAGCCGGCAGCCCGCGCTCCGCGTGCCCCACAGGGTTGAGTTTGCGGTAAACTGTTTCCAAACCGAGGCTGGAGTCTGTGGCCTTGAAGCCGCGCGGCGGGCGCCCGGGGCCGTCGCCGACTCTCTTTTCGCCTCCTGGTGTGAATTCCTCGGCTTTCCCGGCTCATACATTTCCCAAGTGTGGGCCTGAGTGGGGCGCTTTGTTGGGGTATTTTAAAACAATGAAGACGAAAATGCAAGATTCTGTGGGTGACACATTTTCCTTCTTCGAACCCTTGGAATCGCAAATACGATTCCCAAGTCTAGTGTGAAATGACCATCCCCTCCGCCTGCCTGGATTTGTGATTTGAGCAGAATGTTGATTTCAGTCTTCATTGCTTATCGCTGTATTCGATATGATGTTTTCAAATAAAATTAAATTAGCAATAGAATAGAAATAAATGTTGTAGATGGCACCTCATCGTTTATTTTCTATTATTCTCACTATTCACTTTCTAAATGAAGCTGACATTTATGCCTTTTCTGCAAATTAAGTGATTATTTTTATAGTTCAGATTTTGTGGAAATCAGGGGGGGGGGAAATCAGGTATGACTAACAAAATTCTGAATATCTTGAATTGATCCAGTCCTTTCAGAACATAAGGGTTAGTACTTGTGAATCCTCGGAAAGAAGACGATTTCATAAAATAGGTCTGGTTGCTCTTTTGTCGTTGTAAGGGCACTGACTTAAGCCAGAAGACAGATTTTCACCAGTTTAGGCAATATTTATTTGAGGGAAATGAAAAGTATTATTTTGTTTAAAAATGTGACTTTTTGAAACCAGACAGAGAAAATAGAAGCAAAAGGAAATAATATCAAAGGCAGCGTTCCTGTCTGGAGATTTCCAGACTTCTCCATTAGGGACCCACAAAAAACCTTCCAGCGGTTGAGTTGATCAAATGCCAAGCGACCGTGTACCAGGTTTTGGACACCTCAGACTTCCCCTCCAGGGAAGCAGCAATCCATCTGCAGAGAAGCTGCTGGCAGCTTTGAACCACTGACTTTCTGGTTAGCAGTGCAAAGGGAAGAGATGGCTCAGGTTTTCCCCAAGGAGAGGATTCGAACCCCTGCAGAGGCAGCCCTTGGGCTAACAGCACAGCTCAGTGAATGCCACCAGAGATCTCTGTAGGACAGAAATGTGGTGGCATTTGGCGGTTTTTTTTCTCCTTAAAAGAGCCATTTTCCCAAATGACTTTGCAGCTGACTGGTTTCTCGGCAGCTGGAGGCTCCGGGTACTGGTGGGAGGCAAACAGGATACAGCTGCGCTGGTCACCAAGTGCTCGCAGCAGAGGCAGCGGCTTTCTGGAGTGCTCACCCCTCGCTCTGCTGAGTGAGGCTCACAGTTCAGACCCAGCAGTGAATGCCGCTCTGGGAGCGTGGGGCCCCCCTCTCTGTGCAGGAGAAAGCCTCTCCCCACTCCCGCCCCCATTAGCTCCTGCCCCTTCACTGGACGGAGAGAAAACTGCAGACTCACCATCCTGCATTCGGCGCCTGTTGAATCTGCCCGTGTTTGGCTCCAGTCTGTCTCCATCTCAGAGAGGTAATTCGTTCCTTCACTCTTCACGTCTTGGGGACACCAGGCTTCACGCCCCAGGCTGCCCATCGTCTATTCCAGGGATGCTCTGAGAAGTTCCCATGACAACTCTTGGCAGCCTCCAGGAATGATGGGGTTTATGACTCTATTTCCACTCTCCGCACCCCCCACTTGCAGTCTTTGCCCTGTAGGACCTGCAGCCCCACAGAGACCCCTATCCTGGGACCACAGGGCACCAATGACCCCCTCTCCCCTCTGTCCTTCCTCTCTCCCTTCAGCCTGACTCCTTCCCACCTTGGTCTACTCTTGAATCTTCCCAGCTGTCTCGCCCTCATCACCCAGCTGGAAGATCACACACATATACACACCCCAGATTGGAGAAAATCTCAGCAAATCCTGCAGCTCCATGGCAGCCTTGGGTGTGTGAGAGGCACAACTGATTTGCCACAAGTATGAACCAAAAGGCTGCAGTTAGAACACAAGCTGCAGTGCTGCGGAAGAAAGGCCTGTGGTCTGCTTCCCGAATGATCCCAGCACCAAGACCCTATGGAGCCATTCTCTGTCACACACGGGCCACTGCAGGGCCACCACGGTGACACGGCACCATCACACACAGGCCCCCACAGTGACATGGACTCAACCACAAGGTTTGGTTTGGGTAGCCTTGTAGCTGACCCCAGGTGACAGGACAGGACGACCCAGGATTTTCTAGCCTGTGATCTTTATGGGAGCAGCTTGCCAGGTCTTTCTCCCTTGGAACCACTTGTTGAGTATCTTTGAGTCAGAACCGACCCACAGCTGACTCTCCAGCAGGTTTGCAGGGGCTGTAAATCACACAACAGCATTGCCCATCTTTCTCCTGTGCAGCAACTGGTGGATTCTAGTGTGGTTTTGGGTTGGCTTCTCAGTTCCTAACCACTGAGCCACCAGAGTTCACATGGAGCCACTGCTGTTGATAAGTGCCGTCAAGACTCACAGCGACCCTGTGTTCAACAGCTCTGAACCCTGCTCTCCTGAGCGAGGCTTGTCGTCTCTGACACCCCAACCCCTGTTACTCCAGTCACCGAGTCAATCCATCTCATCCTCTCCTTCACTGTCTCTCCACCCTTCCAAGCATGACGTCCCTCTCCAAGGATTGTTTTCTCCTTGCTCCAAGCTTCAGAATCCTTGCCTCCAAGGAGCAGCCTGGCTTCACCCTGTCCAGGACAAATCTCTTTCTTCTCCTACCAGTCTGTATTATACTGACTACTCTTCTCCAACACCCCAACTCAAAGGCTTCGATTCTCCTATCATCCTTAGTCGTTGTCTAGCTTTCTGATGCATAACAAGTAATTTTGAAGACCATGGCCTGGATCAGGCGCACCTTAGTCTCCAGACTGACATCATTGCTCTTCAGTATGCTGGAGAGGCCCCTGACAGCAGACTTTCTCAGTCCAATTAGTGGATTGATTATGGAGCTGAGCAAATGAAGCTGCTAATGATATCGCAATCTCTTCACCATCTCTCGTGATGTTGCCAATCGATAGGGCTAATCTTGCCCTCAGCAGCTGAGTGCTTGACCCGTGTATTATCAGGATTCCTAAAAGTATGAAGCCTATTTCATGTTACGTTCTGGTCTGCTTGCTCTTTGCTGCCCTCATCTTTTTCCCCAAAACAGCCTCCACGTGCTTATTTGCTCATGCAGTCGGTCAACAGACCTGGTGGGCCCGCGGCCTCCTCTGAACCTGAGTTCTCTGTGGACAGTGCAGTAAATGCCAGGCTTGCTGAATCCAATTATGCAAGGTCCTGCCCTGCGGGAGCTGGTGAAGAGACCAGGGAGGGGCCATCACATTCGGGCCGTGTGCCTGTGTAGGAGGAAGACGGGAATGTAGTGACACAGGGGAGGGTGTCCAACACTGAAGGGCTGGCGAGGGTCCCTCCCGGAAACTTGGAGTGTGATCACTAGGGACATGACATGGGCCGGGAAGGAACAGATATTCCCCCTGGTTGTCTGGTGCTGTAAATCTGGTCCCAACTCATGGCGACTCCACGCACAACAGAGCCAAACAAACTGTTGAGCCCCACGCCAAGCTCACAGTCACGCTGAAGATGTTTCTCTCTCACTGACCCTGCATTTGATCAAGACTGGTGTCGTTCTCAGGGACTGGCGTGCCCTGGCTGGCCATAACATGCCCAAGGTCATCAAGCCACCGTCTTATGTTTGATATCTTTTCTGCATCCCCTGTGTGGCTTATGTTACGGGTGGACATCCTATGAGTTGGTTTTCTTGACTTGAAGGCGTTTGGCTATCCTCTTGTGGTCATTGTTAGGTGCTGTGGAGTCAAGTACGACTCATAGCGACCCTCTGAACAACAGATCCAGACCCTGTCCTAACCTGTGTCGTCTTCACCATCTCTGACACACTTGAGTCCATTGCAGCTGTCACTGTGTCAGTCCATCTGGAACAGAATCTTCCTCTCTTTTGCTGACCCTCCCCCTTTCCAGGCATGCTGTCCTTCTCCAAGGAACAGCTCTCCTGGCAACACGCCCCACGTGTGTGGGACAAAGCTTCGCCGTCCTTGCCTCCGAAGAGCACTCTGGCTTCACCTTCAGTCTTGTGATACAATTTGGTTAACTGGCAGTAACAGCATTAACCAAGTGTATAGTCTACATCTCAACGTGATGACTAGTGTCTGGGGTTAAAAGATGTGAGCAGATAATTGAAGGTAAATGTATTGGCCTCTATCTGGAACAAAGGGAAAGAAGGAAACCAAAGATTTATGGAAGAAAAAGCTGGTAGGATTTACAGTCTAATCAAACCATGGCCACGACTCTGAGGCCGGAAGAATGAGATGGTGCCCAGCTCCTGCTCAGCCCATAAGAGATGGACCCTGATAGAATTGCGGGAGGAGGAATGTGGAACAGAACTTACATTCTTAGAAAGCTCAGATTTACTGAACCAGTTGAGACTAGAGAATTCCTTGAGATTACTGCCTTGTGATACTCTTTAAACCCTAAATGGGCTGAGAAGGAATACCCTGTGTGAGCGATTTTCTCCTTTAAAGAAATCATCTATATGAGAGCAAATGGCCACCACATGCTTTAAGGCAAAGACAGAAAGGTGAGGGGGTCAGGGAAACTAGAAAACTGGAAACAGAACAACTAGAATGGAAGAAATGAGAATAAATGCCTAGGTGGAAAACAAGACCACTCTCAATGAGTGATTTTTTCAGAAGCTGCTAGATAGGAACCTAGTTTCTGTGTAAACATACACTTTAAACACAAACTTTCTTTTAAAAAATTGAAGAGAAGTAGATATGTTTGAGGTCAGCCAGCGGGTAGATATGTTTGACGTCAGCCAGCGAGTGCAGCAAAGAACCAGAAAGGAATTAGTGATAAGCCTAC